TGCAAACCACCATTTCAACACAACTTCTTGCTCCATTGAAATGCCAAATGGATTCAAATTCCCAATTACAACTACAACTGTTCACAAGATTTTTGGCATTCCAATTGGTGGAGTTCCTGTCATCACGAAACCATCAGAAGCAACATATGAATTCATCAAGCATGAGTTAGGAACAACTGCACCCACTATTGAGTACCTTTTCTCAATTATCAATGATGATCTTCCTCAAGACAAGTACTGCCGAATCTTCATTCTCATACTACTCTCACTGTTTGTTGCTCCTAATTCAAGTGGAGTTGTTACCAAGTTTGTCTACAATGCAATAGTTGACGTAGACAGTATTTCCCAATATGATTGGTGTCTTCTATGTTTGAGCTACATGGTTTACTCAATAAAGAAAGCAAAACTAAACAACTCAAGCACCAATAAGTTCATTCCTGGAGGAAGCAAATTACTTATGGTGGTAAGCATATTTCCCATGACAAAATTTCTTTAACTTTTCTTTTTCTATGTAGCATTCAATTTTTCTATGTCTGTGACTAACACTTTTCATTTTTACCCAATATATCAGAATTTTGTTTTCAACGTCAGATTTCCTATTTCGAGTTCCTCATAATAACTGAGTTCAAGTTGCCAACCATTGAACCAAGACTACCTATTTGGTCAGCAACCATGCTGAATTCATACATGGCTCTAGATGCACTCCATGGCGAAACTAACGGATATGGCAGACTACCGGTATATGGCCTTGTTCATAGTTTTTACTATTGCACATTACATAGTTCTATTCACTCTCTTCAATTATGGATTTTGTAGTTCTAGTACTTCTTCAAAGTGCTGTGAAACATTATATATATATATATATATATATATATATATATATATATATATATATATATATATATATTAAACACCCTCTTCTTACTCAACAGATAAAGCACATCTCCTCTACTCCATTCAATGATTCAGTTTACATTGAACTACCTGAAGAGATATTACAGTATATTGAATCCAAATTCACAGATATAAGTCTGACACAAGTAAGTTACCTTGCTGGTTTTCATTTGTTTTCTTAGCAACAATAAACTGTCATTCTCATTTTTTTCATAGTTTGTTTAACAAGACATGCTCCCTCATTTTAATAGGACAAGATAATTCTTCAAATGCAAGCTCAAAAATTCTACATGAATATCATCCGGAACTCAGCATCTACACTGAAGACCTATGTAGATGATATGCATTGTTCATTCATCAAGACCTTGACATCTTCCAATAGCCCAAACCTCCAATTTAAATCAACAGTTTCAAAGAATACTTTCAAAGTACCCAAGACTGAACAATTATTGGCTATAGAATCACCCGCAAATTTCCCAATGCAAGATGTTCCAACAATTGTTGATGAAAATGAACAAGTCAGCATCAATGAAATTCTTCGGGAATTGGTCATAGATTTCACTCAGTCTGTGAACATAACAAGCTCTAATCTCTCTCTACCTTTTAATGGTAGTCTACCATCTTTCGAAGAGCTTGCTTGTCCAGAATTATTTGTGAAGACATCAACTCAGAGAACAGCACCTCCAATGATGTTTTAGCTCTGTTGCATCGTAAGTTTTTCTTTCATAGCTCTTCTAAGTATCTTTTTTTCTTTGCACCAAAAGAGATCATGAAATAAATAATCACAACTTTTTTTCTGCAGGATAGTTCTCTGAATCAAAACCCCCAATTCAAAGAGTACAAGAAATAAAATTTTGCTTACCATTGTTCAGATTCTTATTACCAGGAGAGCGTTTGGAAGGTCATTTCTCTTACCAAATTTCATTTTATCCAAAGTAATTTTTTCAGACATGTAGATGAACTTAGCTGTTAACATTTCCTATTCTTAATGTTGTCTTCATTTTTTTCAACCAGATTTCATGGATGGTGAACTGGATAAAGGCTCATTGACTGATGAAAATTTACTTGCAGCTCACAAAACTTTCAACAATACAATGCATGGTAATTCAAATGGAGAGGCTGGTACAGGCACTCAATATGAAGGCACAGGTTCCCCTTCATTTGATGCAATTACCAATTCAATTGACATAGTTTAGAATGTTCCATTTGTATCTCGTGCCTCTAATGAGTTCAGCCTGCCAGAAAATCAGTATAGCATGCATTCCAATACTCATACCAACCTGAATGTCCCTGGAACTCAGAGCCCAATAAGGGTAATGGACTTCCTATCTTCGAAACTCTACCCAAGCAATATTTCCACACCTATTGAAGATCTGTTGCTACTTCAAGCACTCGAACAACATGAAGCACATTCAGTAAGTTTTCAAAAGCAGAAACTTCAACTTGGCAACAACGAGTGAGCAATTCTTTCAAATCCGCGACACTAGTAATTCAAGAACCAAAAAAGGCTGGTAACCAGGTCATCTTTTCCGACGAAATTGAGAATGATTTCTACCAAACATTGGTTGGACTTCTACCCAAATTAACTTACAGGTATGTACAAAAATCATATGAATTTTTATGTGACATGTTCCACATAATTTCAACATAAAATAGTTTTCATATGCGATCCATACTGTTTTCTCATGATTTATTTTTCACTTTTCTTCATGATTTTCTCCTGCCATGAACAGCCAAAGGATATTTGAGATTGAAGGAGTTGGGTGGATCAGAAAACTATAACTCTATCATTCAAGCCTGGTGGCTGGATAAATCCTCGGGTTGTTGGGTGTTTTTCAAAACTAAAGAACAAAGACCAGCTGGACCAAGGAAGAAAAGGCCTCATGCGAAACAGCGAAATACTGGAGCACATTCTTAGCATTGACGACATGGTCAGCCTATATTTTGAATTCATCTCCTCAGTTACCACTTTCACATCATTGATATTTCATTTTATTAACTATCAATGTTCTTCTAGAAACAAACATGCAGGAGAAGCTAATGAACCCAATGCTAAATCATTCTGATCCTGCAAACCAACAAATCTTACAGGAAAGTAATGTTGGTTTCAGTTTATTGAATGCTTCCTTGGTAAGACAAGTTCTTTTGTACAAACTACTCTTATAGTTTTTCTTTCTTTAAAGAGTTACACTAATAGATTGTAACTTTGCACAATTCCTTAGGTAAAAATGCACGTATTCAAGGAAAAACAATGGATTTTAATCATTGCTAACTTTAGAGCCAAATTTTTTGATATCATGAACCCATACTACAGTGGTGATTCATTCCTACCAGCAATTAGCGCTGTTATCCACAACTTCAAGATTTTGTTTGCTGCTACATATGGAAATTCTAGTTCTTTCAGCATACGAAATTTCGAATCAAGATTTGCACCAGCTCCCAAGGTCAATTTCAGGTGGGTTCTCTATGGAAATCTCCCATTTTACAAGATTTAAACCAGCCACAAGCAACTTTTTGGTTCTTTCTCCAAAAAAGCAGATTAAAAGTAATTTAATTCACAATAATTTTCATACTAAGTATGTAACTGATTATTTTCATTTTTTTTCTTTGACAGGTATGACTCAGGTATTTTCCTTCTTCAGTATGTTAGCAAGTACAAAGGTCTCGGTTTAGAAGGTTTCTCTAATGTAAGTAATAGTCATATCTTTTCTTTTTGGGTCATTACTTGTAACATATCAGCAATGAAGCAGCAACTTTTTCTAAAATACTGTAGGAGGATTTACATGCTCTATGTCAAAAATTCCTTTTCGAGATTGTTACTTGCAAGCACAATGAAATTCAGCTCCCATTAGTAACTTCTTTCCTGCAGAGACATGTAAGTTCTTTTTTTATTTTTGTTTCCCAATGACATAAAAGAGTTGTTTCTTTCTTAGAGACTGTTGTTTCCCAATTTCTTAGAGCCTGTTCTTCTTTTCTTGTAATCACGTGTACGTTTCAACAGGGTTTCCGCATATTGAAGTGAAGCTTACTTGTTCTGCACATGACAGTAACCTGAGGTAAGTTCTCAAATCAACATGTAAGTTCAATTAACATCCTTATTCTTTCTATTCTGAAAGGTCTCATTAATTTTGTTAGTTAGTCTAAAAGGTTCAAGCAAAAAGAATCCCAATGATGAAATGTTCTGCCCCTGTGTTTCCAATTAACATATTTCTTCTTTCTATTCTCAAGGGTCTCATTAATACTATCACCTTCAATGGAAGTTGCACTGGAAGATTCAACTCAAAGGAATACTTCGATGCGAAAAATGTTTCCTTAACGATAGAGCTATCTTTTTTTTTGTCGAAATGGTCTAGTGATAGTTTTTTTGCAAGAAATTTGGGTGTAAACAATGTCTGGAAACAACTGAAACATTTTTCTAAACAGGAAACCAATTCCTTTGGGAAAGATATTTCCCTTTTTAATTCTCTTATTAATGGTCCCAACGCAAGAATTTTTTTCAACTCAAAGGGACAATTCCATGAGGAAACTAATTTTTTAACATGGTTCCCTAGTTATATTTTCTTGCATTACATTCAATTTTTAATAAGGCTTAAATCTGCAAAATAAGTTTGCAAAGAAGCTCAAATATTTATATTATTATTTCCATGTATTTTTTTCTGTATGTTTTTTTCTTATACTGATTCTTCGTTGCACTTCTTCTTTTACTACTGTTTGTCAAGTTTATTGGAACTGTTCTTCCTTGGACAAAGAAACAGCTCTCTTTGTTGGAAAATAAGTTTGCAAAATAAGTTGTCATTATTTTTCTCTTTTATTGGAACTGTTCTTCCTTTTGACAAAGAAACAGCAGAAGCAACAGAGATAAACAGTAGAAGAAACGAAACACGCGCGAACGCCCGACACTTTGACGCATAATGCGTCGTATAGGAGTTCCCCTTTCCGCGGCCGTACGAAACCGAGTCGAACTCGTGCAACTAGCCTTACGAACCGACCTACTAGTCTATAAATATCAGCCCAAGCCCCCCAATCCAACCTACTCAGACCCTTTTCCCCAACCCGTCGCCACAACTGCGCACACGGCGGCGGCGGCGGCAGCAGCAGCAGCAGCCATGTACACCAGCACCTGCTCCGCGGCCGACGAGCGCGTGTACTGCCCGGAGTGCCGCCGCGCGACGGAGGTTGTCCTGGACCACGGCACCGGCGACACCATCTGCACCGAGTGCGCGCTCGTCCTCGACGCGCACTACATCGACGAGGGTTCCGAGTGGCGCAACTTCGCCGACGACGGCGGCGGCGACGACCGCGACCCCAGCCGCGTCGGCACCTCCGGCGACCCCTTCCTCGCCGCCAAGCTCTCCACCGTCATCGACTACACCAACAAGACCAAGAAGTCCTCCGCCACCGGCGTGGCGACAAAGGCCCCGCCGAGGATGTCGGTGCCGGACGCGGGGGTGGCCTCCGAAAACACCCTCGTCGACGGCTTCCGCGGCATCGCCGACATGGCCGACCGGCTCGGCCTCGTGGCCACCATCCGGGACCTGGCCAAGGAGACGTTCAAGAAGCTGGACGAGGCCAAGGGCTGCCCGCGCGGCCGGAAGCGGGACTCCGTCTACGCCGCCTGCCTCTACATCGCCTGCCGCAACCTCGGCATGCCGCGCACGTACAAGGAGCTCGCGTCCGTCACCGCCGGGGGCGTGGCCGCCAAGAAGGACGTCGGCAAGATGACGACGCACATCAAGAAGCTCCTCGGGGAGGAGGACGGCCAGGTGATGGACATCGGCGTCGTCAGCGCCACTGACTACCTGCGCCGCTTCTGCTCCCGGCTCGGCCTGGGCAACCAGGAGGTGCGCGACGCACAGGAGGCCGTGCGGAGGGTCGAGCAAGGGCTCGACGTGCGCCGCAACCCGGAGTCGGTCGCCGCCGCCATCAGCTTCATGGTCGTGCAGCGCGCCGGCGCCGGCAGGTCCGTCAAGGAAGTGTCCGTCGCCACCGGCGTCGCCGAGGGCACCATCAAGGAGGTGCACAAGGACCTCACCCCGCACGCCCAGATGCTCTTCGGCTGAGCCTGAGCGCCCACGACATTAACGCTTCTTGATCCTTAGGCAGGTCCTTGGCACATGCATGCATGTTTGCCATGTCCACAACTCCAAACGTGTGCTGTTCTTGGCAACTATCTTAGTCTTGGACATGTGAAGTTTGTGTTGGACTTCGTTTCTAAGTGCTGAATCATATCATTCGTGAATGAATCTGTGCTTAGTTCGTTTGATCCGATTAAACTCATGAACTGACGTCTCAGACACGGTTGCCAAGTACGCTACTCCTACTCGTGAATTATAATGGTCTCATGAACTAATAATTTCGAGGGCTGACATTTTTCACCGAGATTTCACCCATTACAATAAACTTTATGTTCCGGTGGAAAAGGCGATGACTTTTTAGTCTCAAAAAAGAAGGCCGTGGCGACCCTTCAATACCGGCTAGGTTCAAACAACATTCAAATTTTGGTTGAATCCCATTCAAAATGAAACCAGAATGACCAGATTGAATACTGAAATAGGTGACTTTGGTGCAATTTAATCCAACAAAATATGATGTCTATTCTGGCCAGATCATCTGACTAATGTCAGATACATATGCCAAAGTACCGAAAGAATCTTTCTGTGTTTATACACCTACTGAAAGAATCTGACATGGGTTGTTGAGTCGAGGTGACTCAACCATGTTGCTTTCGCGGTGGCAGGACG